AATACATTTAAAAAACAGAGGTGCAGCATCTAGGACTGGGTGCAAGCTGGGAATCAGCTGATCCCTGGCTTGCACCCGGTCCCCGCTACCCTCTGCCTTCCCTGCGCACCCCCTGCGGAGATGGTACTGGAAGGATCTGGCTTTTAAGTTGGCTCTCCCCCCCAGCACTGGCTCCTACTCCCCCACCTAGTCAAGGGACTAGTTGACTATCTGATAAGGAGAAAGCTTATCAGATAGTCAACTAGTAGCTTACATTGAACTAGTAGTTCAATCTGTACACTCTTAGAGAGGTAAGATTTCTAATAAGATTAATGATAAAAATTAATCACTATTAAACAATAATAGAATGCCATTTATTTAAATGTTTAGCTATTTTCTACATTTTCAAATATATTGATTTCAATTACACAGGATACAAAGTGTAGAGTGCTCACTTTGTGTATTTATTACAAACTTTCGCATTGTAAAAAACAAAATAAATCATATTTTTCATCTCTTTCATTACAAATACTATAATGCAATCATTTTACCATGAAAGTTGAACTTACAAATGCAGAATTGTATACAAAAAAGCTGCATTCAAAAATAAAACAATGTACAATTATAGAGCATACAAGTTCACTCAGTCCTTCTTCTGGTTTAGCTAATTGCTCAAAGAAGTTTGGTTACAATTTGTAGGAGACAATGCTGATTGCTTACAATGTCACCTAAAAGTGAGAATGGGTATTCACATGCCGGTGTTGTAGTTGATGTTGCAAGATATTCATGTGCCAGATGTGCTAAAGATTGATATGTCCATTCATGCCTCAATCACGATTACAATTGATGGTGGGTTCTGCTTGATAAAAAAGCAGTACAGATCAACACATGCTCAATTTCATCATCTGAGTTAGATGCCACCTGCAGAAGGTTGATTTTCTTTTTTTGGTGATTCAGGTTCTCTAGTTTCCACATCAGAATGTTGCACTTTTAAGACTTCTGAAAGCATGCTCCATGCCTCATCCCTCTGAGATTTTGGAAGCCACTTCAGATTCTTCAACCTGGGTCGAGTGCTTCATTTATCTATAGAAATCTCACATTGGTACCTTCTCTGCATTTTGTCAAATCTGCAGTGAAAGTGTTCTTAAAACAACATATGCTGGGTCACCATCGAGACTGCTCTAACATAGAATATATAGCAGAATGTGGGTATAACAAAACAGAACAGAAGCCATACAATTGCTCCCAAAGATTTTATTCATAAATTTAATTGACATGTTTTAATGAACGTCATCAGCATGGAAGCATGTCCTTTAAATGGTGGCCAAAGCACAAAGGGACGTGATTGTTTAGCCTATCTGGCATGTAAATACCCTTACAAAAGTACCACTCTGTTTTCTTAAGGAGTGCTATACAATCTGAGGTTGAGGCATAGCCATCCTTCCCGAGGCTACATCTACAGAATGATTCTTCTCTGTTCATACAATAGAGGAAAGCATGTCTCTCTAAATGTCTAAACGAAAAGTATGATCAGCATAAAAAGCTTACACTAAAAAAATGGAATCGCTTGCAATGTGGTTTAAAAAAAATAGACATTTATGGTGATGAAAAGTTACTAATTTCTTGTAGTAAACTGATCTAACTTTTCTTAAATCTGGAAAATGTGGTTAAGGGACACTAGCAGGGTAAAAAACCACATTATTAAACTAAATTGCTTCACTTTTGTTTTCTGATTATTATAATGGTTTGTTTACATTCTAGCAGCTTTCACTATTTGTGTTTTTCATATTTCTTAGCTTGGATTAGATTGGTTACATCATATTTACTTAATATAAACAATACATATTGGCTAAATAAAGGATTTGTGAATTTTTTTTTTGGCTATCTAGTCAGTATTCAAAAATATTTTAAGATTAACACAAGCAAATAAATGGCAGTCTGTTATTTATTAAATGAAGAATTTCATGGTTTTTGAAATACAATATTCATCACCCAGAGATTTGGCTGAGTAAAAAACATTCAGTCAATTCTCACAGATCAGTTTTGGAACTTTACACAGAGTATGAATATTAAAGGAATTGAATATGGTTCAAATGATCCAAAGCCCTGCTTTTTATTAGGTATTCCTGATTCCTTCCTCCCTTCTAGTGTATGACCAGCTCTAGTTCTGACAATGAAATTAAACTAGTCAGTTTCACTTTTGGCTATCTAGTCAGTATTCAAAAATAGTGCCTTCAGGTTCTCTGGCACTTGCATAGCTCTGCAATTTTCAGATTGCACATACTGTTGTAATGTAAATTAAATAACTTTTTACTGTGATTTTAAAAAAAATACATAAACATTTTACACTGGATCTTTATTCTCATTATCTAAACAGGGGAACTGAAAGAATATTTCCAAATTGATCACAAAATCTACTCTATTAATGGGAAAAGACTTTTTAAAGGTTGGCATTATGACCAAGAATCAATTATGAACCCCACCCTTTTTTGATGTGCTGGCCAGGTAAGAGTAACCTCTTAATCTCTTTGGAGCAGTGGCAGGATTTATTGAGGTTCTGTTTTTGGCCTGCAATCCCCAGCACAAAAGTCAATGAATGAAGGTGTGTATGTGTGCGTGAGAGAGAGGGAGAGATGAAGTAGTGTGGGTGGGTGTGTATGGAGGCAGGCAGATGTATGCGGGCAGTAAACAAACACGCATATCAAGCAAACAACTGCTCAGGAGAGCAATAGCTGGAGCATCTCCCTTTAGTCATAACTATAGCTTGTTTGATGTTGAAAGTGAAGAAACTTAATGTGTTTTCAGTTGTAGGATTTTGAGTCACATTATCAGGAAACTTAATATAACTCACACTTCAGACTGAACAGATTTGAAATTCCCATTGTTTGGCAGACATCTCATTTCCTTCATAGCTACTGAAAATTTTGTAGAATTAACTTTATTTGATTTGATTTGATATTATTTAAAAGCTTCAGGGGGTAGCCGAGTTAGTCTGTGCAGGTAAACTGAAAAAACAACAAACAGTCTGGTAGCACTTTATAGACTAACAAAACATGTAGATGGTATAATGAGCTTTTGTGGGCATAGCCCACTTCTTCAGATGACTGGATTGTTGGATGTATAGGACCAAAATAAATAAGGGAGATGGGGGAGGAGGGAAGGGAAAATTGGGAGGGAGGGGGAAGGAAACAAGAAAAGGCAGTGGGTAAAAAATATATCAAGGGAAAGCTGAGTCTATAGGTACCTAAATACTAGATACTCAAAGGGGGCAGATAAGAACCATTAATTAGCATACAACAAGGAATCAGTAAACACTTAAAGACTGATTAAACATATAGATGGTATCATGAGATTCTTCAGAGACAAAGAACCATTGTCACCCTCATTGTTTGATAGGTAAGTCATGACCTAACCATCCAGTATCTTTGTTTAATCCAGATGTGAGAGAATTGAATTTGGGAATGAGCTGAAGCTCCAGTCCTTCCATGTGTATTTGGCTCCTGTAATTGGTTTGAGACAAAATAGCCACTTGAAGATCTGTTAATGCATGCCCAGGGAGATGAAAGTGTGCCCCCACAGGCTTTTGTATGTTCCCTTTAGAGATATCTGATTTGTGTCCATTAATTCTTTCATGTAGGGACTGTCCAGTTTGTCCAAAATATATTGCAGTGGGGCATTGCTGGCATTTAATGGCAAAGATTTAATTACTGGATGTGCAGTTGAATGAGCCTCTGATTTGGTGGCTTATGTGGTTGGCTCCAGTAATGAGTTCCCTTGTACAGATATGCGGGCAGAGTTGGCACCCTGGTTGATTGCAGGGATGGGTTCCTGGATGTTTATGATGTAGCTGTGTAGCGTGGTTATTGGAAAGAATACATTTCAGGGTGGGGAGGGGGGATTGTCTGTAAGTGAGAATAGACCTTTCCCCCAAGGCCTATTTATTATTTAAAGTTGTTGCCTGTTTCTGAATCTGACCCCGGGCTCCATGCTGCGTTGTGCTTTGACATGCACAAGAGCCCCCGCTTTTACCATTCTCACAGGATTATGCAAGTCTTCATGCGTCTAAAGAACTTTGGCATTTTAATACGAAGATTATCTCAGTAAAACCAATTTTTCCATTTTCTTAATAATGTAGGGAGTCACCAGATGACTACCACACAAGCGTTACAACATGAATGCTTATAGGCTGCCAAAGCTTGTGAAATGCTCTGTTAGCTATGGTCACTTCATTTGGAACAATGCAGACAATATTTACTGGATGAACTTCCCTGACTTGACTAATTTCTTAGGTGCAGAGCCAGTGCCCACAGGATGTACTTACAAAGACACAAACACATCCCTATCATTAAAAAAAAAACCAACAAAACCCCAAAACCCACACACTTTTTCTACATTTCAAAGCTTGAATGAAAGGATGCATCACGAACATCAATAAACATGCCTTGTAAACAGATGTTTATAATCAAATGCATCTGCTTTTAATACTGGCTTGAAAATCACTTCAGAGGCATGCAGAAAAAAAAAATTCAATCCTAGGGGAAAAAAAGGTTTTGGTTTGATTTTAGTCAGTTCTTGTTTTAATCTATACTGATTCACCAATCCCTGATTAAAATACATTGTTCACAGCCTGCATACTCTTCCCAGAACAATGAGCTCACTTTTGGGGGTCCTGTGGCAGCTGCCCCAACTGTCCTATGGATAGGACGGCTGGGGGAATTAAGAGGGCTTGGTGCAGTTGCAACAGAGGTTCCCCCCCGCATGGGCAGCAGGAGCCAGAGCAGCCTGTTAACCTGCTCTGCTCCACACCGCTGCCCTCTCCCAACCTGCTGCACATGGCTTCTCTGGTTGGTTGCCCCAGGCTGTGCATTCCCCTCAGGCCAGCCCTGCCTATGTTTACAGTATAGACACTCCAACACTGGAATTAATTTTGAAGCTAGTCTCTCATTTTCAAGTCCGTTTTCACACAGATATTGCCTAGAACTTAGTGAAAACCAAACCACAGTATTTGAAATGCTACTCACCATAACTTTGTTGAGGGTTAAATTTCAGGCAAAAAAAGGCGCTCACGAAAGGACATGGGAAATGTCTGTATTACGACCAGCATGAGACCCATTCTTTGATTCTGAGTGGCTGCTTCATGGAGTACTAAGGGCTTGTTCACTCCCTACGTGGCTCAGCAGGTCTATAAGAAAGAAGATAACAGGTTAAGTCATGTCAGTGACCAGTGCTTAACTTACAAGAGAGTTTGATATGAAGCAGACATACAATTAATTTCACATCGTTATACAAGTTTCAGGCATGTTGGCCCACTCCCTCCATCACTGTACATGGCTGTCACCTGGTAACAGTTCCCTGATTCTAGAAGCTGTTCTAAATCATACCAGGAGGAAAGAGACAACAAAGCTGTCTGTCAGTAAGAACTTGAACTCTAACCACATGGATTCCTTGTCGTGTCCCCTCCCGCACCCCATTATGGCCCAGAAAAGAAAGAGTGGTATAGTAGTCTACTAATGCTGGAATTTATAGCAGTAGGAAAAAATCTCAGCTAGTAAGTTAAAGCACAAAAAGGCTGCATAAGCCAGGAGCATATGACCCTTCATTTATATATAATTTTTTTCAGATGTTTGTCCACAAAATTGCATTGTGCACACAGCCCAAGCAGGTATCTATCTATATGGACGAATAATTCTATTTACAATCGGTGCATTCATGCATGACTATATCAGTCAGCAAAATGGGATTTCCCAAAACATTTACATAAACATTGTTTTTTCATTCCAACATGGCTCAGGTTTCTATCCTTCTTAAACTCTATAATTCATAAGTAGCTATTGTAAGAGACCCAGGCCAGCTGGCTACTTCCCTTTAATGGAGGTCAGAGATGCAGGGCTGTGGATAGTTTTCTCTTCCCTGAATAAATCCCAGAGACTGCTGCCACATAATGAAGGCAGGCAGACACCTAAGGTGAGTTAATAGCTTGCCTGAAGAAGCAGGCTAAACTGAAACTTGCAGCTAATTAAAGCCTGTGGAGCCACTTCAAAAGCTTCCCCCATGCCCTGGGAAGGAAGAGGGACAGAAAAGAGGGAAGGACTGGGAGGAGGAAGTGCATTGCTGGAGAACTGTCTTGCTTAGGTACCAGAGGAAAGGTATTGGAAGCGATTGTTGGAGAAGTGGCCCAGGGAAAAAAAGCTGCTTCATTGAGACTAAAAATAATCCTGCTGCCACTGCCTTAGGGACCCTGAGATGGAACTCAGAGTAGTGGGCAGGCCCAGCTTCCCCCCAGCCCTCCCCACACCACTAGTTTGCCTCTGAGGGGGGAGACCAGGACTATGGGGGGGTTCACCCCAACAGTGGACTAGCCTATCATGAATATGGCTCAATAGTCTCTGACTCCTTGCCTCTAGAAAAAGAACAGGTTGTGCGGAGAGTCACAGCAAGTCTCTGAGGCACACATTGTCCGTCAGAAGTGTGCGACCCACAGGGCATGGTCAGAACTTTGCCACACTATACAATATATTGTATGGATACAGGGTAAATGTTTGAAGACAATTAATTTGTCTTATTCCCCGTGTTTAGTAAAGTGTAATTGCTGATATTTTATTGAACAAATTACAACTTGCTATCCTCTCGATAAATGCAGTAACATTATAACCTGCTTTTCTTTAGTACCTCAGCATGTTTTCTGCAAATCTTGGGTGGGCAACTTGACTAATCTTTTCACCAAGATTGCCAGTAAAGAGCTACATTTCTCTATTACAATTTCCAGGTTGTATATGTGGGTTGAGACCCTTTGCTGGAAAGGGCCTTGGGGCTGGGAAATCCCAACTCACATATCCAGAGATTAAGCACTGACAGCATAATTGTATTGCTGTATTACATCCAGGTGGGGACGGGAAGAACCTTTTGGCAGAGATTGTGGACTTTCCAAAGATGAAGTTTCATAATTTCCTTTTTCCCCTTTAAATTCAATGCAGACCTACCCAGGCTGTTGTATTTGGAGGCTTTCCCACTCGCTTACTCAGCTTGAGGCAAGCCGAGGGTAGTTCCAATCTCATCCAGATCCAGGTTCTGATGATAGTTTACTTCTACATAAAACACAATGACTTATTTCCTCAAATTCCTGTTCCTGAGGCTTTTATGCTTTCTGAACCCTTTTCCGCCCTGTTACATCTTCCCCAAGCAGGCTTATGGGGAGGAGGGACCCTCAAAAATCCTTGTTTCTGTTGGTGTGGAGAACTCAGCCTTTGAGGAAGATGATCACATTATGTTGGGAAAAATGAACTCAAAGTGCATTATGTCATTTTACAGTGGATTATGGAGAGATATTCCACTTCTGATGGAAATCAGTTCTTTACATCTACAAAACAAACAAAATAATCACAGCTTCTGACTTGTGGCATGAACAGAATCCTCAATTGGGTTAGGAAAACTGATAGCGACCCCATCAGTGACCTTCAGAAGAGTTTAGTCAAATGGTTACATTAGGAAGCCTCAGTTCTTATTGAGCTCCGCTGGTGACTCAGTCTGACTTATTAAATGTAATTCTCCTTGCAGGCCAGGTGAAGTTTTAAAAATCTAGTAATTTTTTTTAAGAGACAAGATGATATATTTGCATTGTTTCATGATGAATCTCTTCCTTTGCTGCATTAGTTACTAGCTATGAAAGTTTACAGTTATTTATATTTTCCCATTTGTTAGACTGCTTAACCAGCCCAATACATCTTCCACTTGAGTCACAATCTCACTGCACAGCAGGCATTACAGTCCGCTAAGTATCAAGAGATTAGTTTACATCACTTAAGAATGTAGCTCTCTTTTTTGGGGGATGGCTGGGCAGGCTGGCTCCTCACTTGATAGAAAGTGCTCATGTTTGTTCCCAGGATGTTTGTTCAGTCCAGTTCCTAGGCTGCATATTGGGATATTTATTTTATCTAGTGAGATGCTTTATAATGTTCTTTTTGTGCAGAACAAACATTTGCAGATCGCAAGTTTTCTGAACGTCAGATTTTAAGCTGAATATTTTGGGGACATCACTGCCCAACAAAAGAGAAATTCTGGACACTGGACTTAAACATTGTTTGCACAGAAAATCTATAGTATAAATCTGTAATACTACAGATGTCAGTTATAAGAGCAAACTGACTATGAGAGCATCCAGCATGTATAGAAAAGGACCTGTATTTCTGACTGGCAGGGTACCCCTCTAGGAGTTAGATCCGAGACAGTATATAAAACCCCCCCAGGACATATCATTTAAAAGATATAGTTCTTCCTGGGGAGGGGCAGGGCATTGATGGAGAAAGACTTTACTCCTGTGTTTTATGATGTATAAAGGATGCCCTTGAAGGAATTACAGCATCATAACAGCATCATAACTCACTTGTCTGTGACTGGTGTATGTAGTACTATAGTTTTCAAGTATACACAATGATGGAAAAGTTTGCCAGTGGGCAGCAACTAAGGATTAGAGCCCAGTCTGCAAGGTGACTGATGAAATAAACATGTGATTGGAAAATTTGGGGAAGATAAAACAGTTGCAGAAGCTTTGTTTATCTGTTGGAAACTTTCAAACAATACAATAAGCTTGGAAAATCTTTAATCTATTCTGCATGCATATGCTGGCTTGTTAGGACACTAAATAAATAGGACAGTATATATATGAAGGCTATTCAGAGAAGTAACTACTATTGTAAGTACCAAAGAACATACCACAGTGCAATTTATTGTATAAAAGCCCAGTAGGTTTAGGCATGAGAAAATTGCTGCTTAATAAAAATCTGAAGCTAGATAGAGAGAATCAACTTAAAAGTTACCAAGAAAGACAAGGTGTTAATTTAATCATCAACAGAAACCCGTGATAAGTGAAAGAGGGATGGGATGGTGCACAGTAACCTAAGTTAATTTTTTTGAGTATTAAAAACAAACACCTTAACTTAAATTTCTGAAAACTATTGCCTGGATTTCTATGGTAAAGAACAATTACATCAAAATGTTAGATCCGCTTAGCCAGTTATGCAGGCTATGTTGCTTTATTATGATCCAGGGTCAATCTACAACACTGAAGATCAGCCAATCAATCTCTAAGGATGCACTTAAGGTAATTTTAGTTACTAGTGAAAAGTACCTGGATGGACATTGGACTGAAACTGAATTCCTCTAGTAACAGACCAGGTACAGCAGAATCAGCACCACTACAGAGCAGGGATGTAAAAGAGTAATCAACTACTAGCTCCCCCCACTTGCTGCTCCAAGTTGGGGGGAGGAGGAGGAGGAAGCAGGAGCTGGTGCTGCTCCAAATTGAGGGGGGGGAAGCAGGAGCTAGTGGTGGGGGGAGCCATCTTAAAAGCCAGTTCCCCCCAGCACTGTCCCCACGGTGCCGGGTGGGGAATAGGGGAGGCAGAGGACCAGCAGTCCAGGACCTGGCACGAGTCCCAGACCTACCCCGCTCTGTCTGTGATTTTTAAATGTAGTAAAAGCTGGGCAGCTCTTATTACATTTAAAAGGCAGAGCTGTGGCAGGTAGGTCTGGGACCCAGCACGAACTGGGACTCAGCAGTCCCGACTCATGCCAGATCTGGAACCTAGCCCTGCTGCAGCTCTGCCGTTTAAATATAGTAGAAGCCAGGCTGCCTGCGCATCTGACTCCTATTACATTTAAACTGCAGAGCTGCAGCAGTGCTCCTTATCAACTAATAGTGTACTCGATACAAACAGCCATCTTGGGTGTGGGGAGAAAAAAGGCTGAGACAATCAACTACTGAGAAGGCCAAATGGTAATGAAGTTGTGGCATGTTGTCACAACCAACCTGAATTATATTTATGCTAACTTCGACGTACAAAGTTTAACATCCCTTACCAAAATTAACCAAAAAAGCCTTTTAAGGTGACACTGGCACTGTTCTTCAAACTTCAATTTAAAGCACATACCCCTCTTGGAGGACTATGTCTGAGCCAACCTTTATGATGCATGTTGAATAGGCATCTGATTCGTTCACCTTAACTGCTCCTATGATAGCATTACGATAGTTTAAGTGCACAGGAAACATCATGGCCCAAGACAGCAGCCAAATCCTAAAAGCCCACACATTCCCAATTGCAAGTGCAATGCATGCCTCATGCCCAGCACCCATAAGTGGAGTACAAGATGGTCAATGGCTAATAACCTTACATTGAAACCATTTCC